TTTCCTTCAATCTCTTGATTTCTGATAGAAATCTGTTCAAATCTCCCACAGTGATTATGAAGTAGTCAACTTCTGTCTCCAACAACTCCTGCTCTGTACCCTTTGGAACCATGATGTTATCTGGAGCTGGGCTCTGCATATTCAGTCCTATCAGTCATCCTAGGCCTGCTAGAAACACCACCTCTTCTGTGGGCTACCCCAGGGCACAAAGCAGAGCTTAATCCTGCTCTCTCTGGAAGCCCCCTCTCCACCCACTTATCTCAGGGACTGGCCTCCTGCTGCTTTGTAAGAAGGGTCATCTGTACCCAAGACTCATCTTCAGGTTCTAAGCCATCCATTGATCATACCTAATATCTATTTCTTGCTAGTTCCTGAATTGAGAACCTAATCTTCCAGTTGTAAAATTCAAACAGTGTTTCTATAGTAAAGCAAATCCCTATAACAAAGAGGTTTCCATGATGCACTTTATGGTATCTTGAGCACAGCACCTGACTGCATAGTGTGATTGTTTTATCTTGGTGAATTGGTGCATCTTGCTCTCCAGTTGGATCCAATCGGCATTTGCTAATGTTTGATTTGAGACAAATCTTTGGAAGTGGTTGGTGGGTGGAGCACAGGGGCTGACAGAGGATGAGCAGACACAGAGCTCAATCCAGCAAGTCCCAGTGGGAGGAGCTTGAGTGTGTGCAAGTTTGCAAAATGCAAGCAAGCTCCTAGTAGTGCCTGCTTCTTGGCAGGGCTCAGTAAATTTTAGTAGAAATGTATAGAAATGGAGACACATTTTTCTCTCTGAGGAGACCCAAAGGAATGTCCTGGGCTGGCAGAGCCCAAAGTAGGGTACATAATCACATCGGTCTGTAATAGGAAGTTTGCTACCTATCAAGGTAGGAGCAAAGGGCCCAGGCCCTCCTCTTGCCTTTAATTCTGAGCTTCATGCCCTGTCACAGCCAAGGACAGACAATAACAAAGTTAGAAAACCTAATGGTGGGCAAGAACAGCCATCTCCCAGGTGGCTGTGACCAGCCTGTTGGCTCATTCCTATGTTCATGACTCCCAGAGTCCCAAGGCCCCACCAAACATATTTTGTGGACAAGCTCTCAGATAAAGCAGCCATGGAGGGTTTCACACAGAAGGAGGATATCTGCCAGAGAGAAGACAGCAAGAAAGGCAGGGTCTAGGGAAGGGTGAGGCTTACATGGCTACCTGGTATATACAACTGAGGAATAATCTGGGAGAGGGAGGAGATCTTCCTGCAGCCCTTCAGCAGGTCAGGGAAGGTGCCCGGCTGGTTGGCCTGGGCAGCTCCCTTCAGGATGCTCAGAGTGGGGGTGAGGTGCCTACATGTGGCCCACGGATGGGCTTGGTGCCCATGTCAGAGGCACTAAGTATGGCTTTCATCAGTCATCTCCTCCATCTTCCTGGACAGGCCTCTGATTAAGGCGTGAACCCTTCAGGAGGCACCCTTCCTAGCAGCTTTTCCTCACTGACCTGGGTCTGACTGAAATGCCAGAGATGTGTCTGCTGTATTTCAAGTTCGAGAGTCTGATTTTAGCTGAATTTGATTTTTTAGAAAAAGAATGGGAAGTTCTTTTCACCCAGCTCTATCTACGACCTTGCTTCCTTGGTAACCACCACCAGGAGTGGTTTCCTGAGAGCCAATTTTCTGATCCTGTGGTCTTGTGTCCCTTTTCTCTTCAGTCACCACAAAGTAGGCTGTAAGTACTCAGTCCCCCAGTTTTGTTACCTGGTACCTAGTCTCAACTGGTCTCTGAGGTGGCAGCTTTTCTGTTGGGTCTCAGTGTGTGGGGGGCACTGACTAAAGCCTAAGGCACATGTCACAGGCCACGTGTCCTCAACAACTGGGACACATGAGCCCCGGCCAGTCTCAGAAAGGACACTAATGAGAGGCCTGTGGGACTTCCAGGGAAGGGGCTGCCATGGTTTTAAGACAGTGCCTTGAGCCAGGCATGGTTGGTCACGCCTGTAATCCTAGCACTCTGGGAAGCTGAGGTGGGAGGATCACTTGAGCTCAGGAGTTTGAGGCCAGCCTGAGCAAGAGTAGGACCGCATTTGCACTAAAAATAGAAAAAGCTAGCAGAGTATTGAGATGGGCACCTGTAGTCCCAGCTGCACAGAAGGCTGAGGCAGGAGGATCACTTGAGCCCAGGAGTTAGAAGTTGCAGTGATCTGTGATGACACCACTACACTCAGTCCTGGGTGACAGAGAGAGATTTTGTCTCAAAAAAAGAAAGAAAAAGAAAAAATTCCTTGAAATGCCATCTGGCCTCTGCATGAACAGAGGTGGGCACAGACCTCAAAATCCTGGCATCCAGGTGCCAGGATGGCTCATTCTCCTGTGCAGTGAGGAAGGATCATGCTGCATCTACAGTCCATAGAGCAAAAGCTCCCCCTGGGAGGGGCAGAGCACAGTCAGTCATGAGGCACCTAAGCCTATGACGGTGGACATAAGGAGACAGACGCCTGTGGCGGGAGCGGCTGAGGTACCCACAACTGCTGTTAGGCCTGCACCCTATGTGCATGGGATGTCTTTCTCTGTTGAGAGCCCCTCTGTCTCCCAAGAGGAAGCTGGTGTTGAAGAGGATGCCCCCAGGTACCCTCCACTGCCCCCAACTCTGGGGCAAGACAAGGCTAGTCTTCCTTCCCGAAACCCGTCAAGATCCCTCACCTCTGCCCACGTGCAGCTCCTCTCGTGCAACCCACCCCCACCCCAAATACAACTTTTCCATGACCTCCCATTACTTTTATGAAACGGCCTGACCCAGCAGCCTCCACATCCTCAGGTAGAGCCATTCCTCCAGCCATCTGGTCCACTCCTCTCATCTGTCAGCTCTCAATTTTTCTGGAACCTTCTCTGACAAATCCCCAGGTTGGGCTTGTTTTGTGGGCATGTTTTGTACAATCACAGCCTGCTGTCCCAGGTGGGTGACTCTCAAGCATCTATGGACAGCCCCCACCCTGCTCCTGCCTGGAGTGCAGTCTCTGTACCACAGAGCTGGGGTCATGAGTGAGTAGTGGTGGCAGCTGGCTCCCTCAGAGGACACCATGTCGAGATGCCCTGATTGGAGATGGTGAGAGGTAACCCTGTCTCCTGGACTCTGAGCTGGGGCAGGGTCAAGTACTACAGATGCTCTCTGTTCTTATCCGGACTTGGCACATTTTCTTTAATAAGCATTTCTTTATTTGCTGTGTGGCCTTAAGACAATTTCCAGAGACTTTTTTTTTTTTGGCCTGGGCAAGGTTTGAACCTGCCACCTCTGTTATATGGGGCTGGCGCCCTACTCCTTTGAGCCACAGGTGCAGCCCCTAATTTCCAGACACTTTTAATGTTTTGTTTTATTTATGATTTGCACTTGTTATAGTTGTTTGGTCCACAAAATTTCACATCATTTTAGAAGTGGATCCTCTATCATGTTTTATATTCTGCTTCTTCACTTCATATGTACCAGCAGAAATCCCAGGCTCTCTTAAAGTCCTTCTAACCCAGTGGGGTCATAAAACTGCATAAAATTCCATCAGGTGAAAAATTTAAATTTTATTTAATCAATAAATGCCTCCCCATGATAAGCAGGGATGTCATAAACACTCTGTGTGAGGGTCAGTAACCACATCCTTGGTCAGAGCCTCAGCAGGGGCTTGAAGCCTGTTCAGAGCATGCTGTGCCCAGGCCCTTGGAGACAGGCCAGACTGGAGCAGTTTCCTTCACAATTCTGCACAGCCACTCTCAAATGGAGGTCAGTGTCCTCAAGTTCATAATGCAGCCACTTGTTCCCCCATGCTACTCATTGTCCCTCTGGACTGCGCCAGGTGCCATCAGTAATTGCCTGAGATCAGCAGGAATGAGGGCCTGGGATCTAGAGTTCTCCCCTCTTGGCTATGTGACTTCTGCCAACCCTAACCTGACAAGATGAGAATTAGCTCGCGGATGGCATGTGGCAGTTTTGGGGAATCAAAGTCACAAGATGTTCCTTGTGACTTTCACCCAGCCTCAGCAGTGTGATGGGGACAGGCAACCTGGGTCCCCGCCAGCTCCTGGACCTCACATTTCTGGTGAGGGAGGTTTATGGCTCCAGCCAAATTTGGGTTTAAATTTGCAGGAAATTTGCAGGAAAATCTTCAAACCATGCCTAGGATGAGCAGCGTTTATCTGAATTAGAGTCTGACACTCGATCTCGGCTGGAAATGGAGCCTAAGGAACCATGCCCCAGGGCCCCTCACCCTCACAGGAATTTCAGCTCTGACCCCTGGGGACCTCATCCTCACAGGACCCTCACCCCGACAGAGCCCCTGCCCCCTGGGACCTTGCATAGTTCATGGGAACACAGGACACCTGAGGCCAGAGGCTGTGCTGGGCAGAGATTGAGGAGCCTACCCTGGGAGGAAGACCTCATGCCTTGCTGAGTGGTCTTTGTGTCCACCAATGCCAGCATCTGGGCACTGAAGGGCAGTGGGGCCTCTAAAGGCTCAGGAACTGCCAGAGCCCGTCTCACCTCCACTCACAGCAGGTGACTTTGGAGCTAACAGTCCACATCCAGTGGATGCAGGTCTGTAGAACTGGAACAAGGGCCTGAAAGTAAAGGACTCTACCCCATGGCCCCAGGGCCTCCCCCTCCTCTCCAGAAAACCCACCAGGTTGGGGTTCTAGTGAGTTTTCTTAGGCAAGCCCAGGTAGCCTAAGAGAAAAAACAAAAGAGAAAGAAGTCCTCCCCTTCATCCTCAAAAACATGGGTCCAGAAGACCCAAGGAGGCTTCAAGGGAGTAGGAGAGTCCTTCCTCCTGTTCACCCCCTCCCCCATTGTGTTTTTTCTTTTTAACTTGTCATTGACTTGAAGCTCAATCCACTCCCCTGTTATAAAACTCTTAGAGCCCTGAGAATGCTGACAAGCTGGGATTCTGAGACCTCAGTTGCTCTCCATCAGTAAAATAGTTACAGAGCCCCCATCTCTCTGAACACCGTGAAATAAAACAGGAAACCACAGAAGTAGGGTGACTCTTTACTCAGAGAAAGCACAGATGGCAGTAGACAGGGGACATGAGCTCAGGGGACCCCATTCCTGAAGGTACCTCACTCACAGGGGAGCCCTATTAGGAAAGAAACCCAAGCTCCACCTGCATGCAGGCCTCCATGTGACCCACCCCCATTCCAGCCCCGATCATGGACACAACCCATAGTGGTCACAGAATCCTGATAGGCAGACAGGCAGGTCTGCAGGCCTGGCCTTTCATCTCTAAGGTTCTCAGCTATGGAGTAGGCTCAGGGCTTCCACAGCTCAGAACATCTTCCACATGCCACCACCTGCCCACTCTGCCCAGGTGCAGACAGGGGCCAGAGATGGGGGCAGGGCCTGGGCAGGACTCTGTGCTAAGACACAGCCCAGAAACCTTGGGACAGAGGCCTCAGCCTGGCCTGAGGGAGCACAGGGTGCAGCAGTGAGGCCTCTCTGGGTGCACCACACAAGCTCTGACCTTGTCACATATTCTTCTGCGGGCCAAGAGTGAGCAAAGATCTTGGGTGGACAGCCTGAGTCCCAACTAGGGGCAGGCCAGCCACCAGGGATCAAGTCAGCCTGGGCAGGGCAGGGTCTGCCCATGACTAGGTGGGTTATGGCCACAATGGTCGGATGGCAGCAGTGTCCACGTGCCAGGAGCAGGCCTCTCCATCTTGCCAAGGCCCTCACAGCAGTGTGTCAGTGCGTTTGCTACGCCATACCACAAGGCCTGCCATGGCAACAGTCAGCAAGACAGGCACGGCGATCAGTGGGATGAGAATCTCGTCAGGGGGGTCCTCCCAGTGGACCCTGTTCACAGTGCAGTTGGAGAAGAACTGCCTGTGGACACCAGTGATGAAGGTCTGGGCCAGGGGGTTGGGCCAGTAGCAGCCCACACTGTTGGTCTCTGCCTCGGTGCAGTTGGTGAAACTCTCGTAGTACCTGAAATGCAGAGGGGGTGATGACTGGGCTCTCCCTGTGCCCTCCTCATGGCCACCATGACCCTGGGGTGGAGGGGAGGTGGGAGTGGTTTGGGTCCGGTCTCACTTGGACAGGCACTTGCACCACAGCCTTGGCAAAGCCACTTCCCAGCCATGGGGTCATCTATGCCCCATGATCCACTCCCTGTGTCTCCTGTCCACACTTGCATCATTGATTAGTGTGACTTGCTCCCTTTGAAGCCATAAATTCCCAGGATCCAGGATCTCAGCCCAGCCCCTTACCCAAGTCCCCAGCGCTTTCCAGGTCTATCCAGAGGACACACCAAGCCATGCTTCTCCAGGGTCAAGGGGTGCATGGATCATAGCCACTTGATCCATGCACTCTTTAGCCATCTGCAAGGCCTTAACCATCTAGGGACACCATAAGCGTCCAAGCAGAGGGTCTCCCTAAGGCCAGAGTCAGTCACTTCCTAATTAAGTCAACCTACTGTTATGTGCCAGGTGATGCCCAGGGGTGGGGTGGGGGTGTCAGACCTGTGAGCCCAGCCTCCATTCTCCATCTCCTGTTCATAAGTTGCCTCCCTCAGCCCCATCTGAAAAGACACATGGGAATCCTCCCCAGGAGGGCACTCAGCAAACCATCCATGATGCTCCCTATTCACCCAGCAGGGAGGCTGTCCTCATAGCTGACCAAGGGCTACAGCTACCAGGACCCAGAGTTCAGCCCAACATAAAGAAGGACTTTCCAACAACCACCTGCCCCATCATGCAAAGGGCAGCCTCCAGAGGCAGTGACCTCCCTGTCCCTAGGATTTGCAGGCCCTAAGCTGGCAGCCACCCATGTTTTGGAGGAAGCCTGATGGACGGCTGCCCAGTGTTTTCCCATGTTCTGTGCTGCATAAAGACAGATGCAGGAGGACAAGAGGTCCTGCCTCAGCTTCCTCATGGGTACAGGCGAATGGCCCACCTCTTCCTTCCTGTGCTGTCCTAAGAGGGAACCATTGATCTGGCCCATCAGCAGGAAGGAGTCACTTCTTATAAAGCACTTCCTGCATAGACATCATCTAGGTCTGGGTTTTCCAACACATCAGAAAGAGTGCAGAAACAGGGAGTGCTGAGCCACTCTGCTCAGGGCCCTCCTGGTGACCCCACTCCTGGGAGGAGTCCAAGCAGCTAGTTACCCAGCCCAGCTCTTGATACATATGAGACTGGATTTTAGCACCACCTCTGGAATACTCATCAGACACACACCTGTGCCCTTCCAGGTAACCTTGGCAAGGAAGAGCTGAAAATAGCCTTGAATCTGATATAGAGCCATGGGCTCTCCTGGGCCCCAGCCATGATACAACCTCAGGATACACCCAGCACCCAGGGAACCTCAACAGCCTCATCTTCCTAGACTTGCTCCTCCCAGCAAGGCTGGCCCCAGTCCCAGCAGTCTGCTTCCCACCCCATGCCCCAGTCAGGTGATTAGGAGCTGGAGAGCCAACTAATCACACCCTGCCTTTGTCTTCAGAAGACCTCAGCATCTTGGTGTGTGATGAGAACCACATGCTGTAAATCCCATGCCTCCAAAGCCTTTCCACTGAATGCCGCCCACAACAACCATCCCCAGGGCTGAGATAAGCCAGCCAGACCCTGGGGAAGACCCACTGTGGACAGTGAGCCTTCAGGTGAAGGGAAGTGGTATACAGCCCCAGAACTTCCCCAGTAGATGAGCAGGGCTGAACACTCCTGCTGTTCCCAAACCCCACTCCCAACCAGAGCTGGTCAGCATGGGGGATCCAGGGGCAAGGCAAACCCAGAAGACAGTGTAAATGGTGGCTTTGGGCTCAGAGCCAACATGACAGGATTCCTCTAGCCCCAGCTCAGACACTCACTATCTTGTGGTTTGGAGTGTGTTACTTACCCTCCCCAAGCCTCAGTTTCTTTTCTTTTCTTTTTTTTTTTTTTTTTTATCTTTCTGACGGAATAGGTATGTTATTAAAAATTGCACTGCTGGGTGGTGCCTGTGGCTCAAAGGAGTAGGGCACTGGCCCCATATGCTGGAGGTGGCAGGTTCAAACCCAGCCCTGGCCAAAAAAACAAAAACAAACAAAAAAAACATATATTTATCATTGCCAAAGATTGCTGTTCATAGGCTCAGTTTCTTCATCTATAAATGAGATTAGTAACTTTTACCCAGTCAAGGGATTGGGAGGACCAAACAACTGACATCCATATGCCCCAATAAGTGTCTGCCACAGGGTAGGTGCTGGAGCGAGCCCACCCTAGCAGCTAGGCTTAGCTGAGCAACCATCTCTGTAGATCAACTCACAGGAGTGACACACACAAATTCCCAGAACCTGTGTTTCTCTAGAAAACTGGTAACTGGTTATGGTTGAGACATTCCAGGACTATCCAAGGTCCCCCCCCCCCTTTTTTTTAGTCCAGCTTCCCAGAGCGCCCTCCCTAAAGAAGATCTACCCACAACTCAGGATGAAAAAGGCATATAGGTTTGAAGTTAGGCAAGCTCCCAACCGCCCCTGCTCCCCCAATCCACCTGTGCTCATCAGTGCCTTGCTTAAAGTTTCACCACCTGAGTTTGTAGTCCTGGGCAATACAGTGTAGCAACAACTCCCCTAACCAGATACAGAAGAAGCCAGTTGCTGCTGGTACAGGGAGACTCCCAGGAAAGAACATGCTATGACTGAAGGCAGGCAAGTCTGGGGAATATGGCCTTCCCAGTCAGAGTTCCTCTTGGAGCTGTCATGTGGGCCAGTCATCTGGGGGAAGCTGAAGGAGGCTGTAGGGCACGAAGGCAGCGACCTCATCAGATGAGCATCAAGTGCTGTCCAGGGAAGCCAGGCTGCCTCCACCTCATTCTGCACCAGGGCTCCCCTCTCCTGCCTTGGATCCACTCCCCAAACCTCACATCTTCCTTGCATAGTTTGCTCACATATCTTGATGAACTTAGGAAAAGCGCATGGGGATAAGGTGTTCGATGTGCTGAATGCCTGATAGTGTTTTCGTTTCTCCCTATTTGGCAGATGGACTGGTGGGCAATAGTGTCCTAGCTAAGAACTTGCAGTCCTTCAGAATCTTCAAGTCCTCACATACAGCTTTCCTCTAGTTTCCAGAGCTGCCCTGTGGCAGCCATAAGCCTTCTGAGCCCTCATCCCAGTGTGGAGCCCTTTTTTTCTCTCTCTGGACACGTGTAGAAGTTTTCCTTTGTTCTATAGCTCTAGTATTCCACCATCCATATGGGACATTTTCATCCCTGTTGCTAGGACTGGTTGAGCCCTGGCAGGATGCAAACTCTGTCCTTGGCCCTGGGGAAGGGCCCCAAATCCCCCTCGACCCCTGTTCTCTTTCTAGAACTCCTACTACCTGGGCATTAGACCTGAACTGACCTCTGACCACCTAAGCATCTTCTCTTCCAATGCCTGGGAGATTTTTGTCAACATCCACCTTCAATATTCCACTCCATTTTTTTACATCTCTATCACATTCTCAATTTCCGGGGCTTTCTTTATCCTTGGAGTACTTTCCTTCTTATCGCATGAGAGGTAGTAGTTTGCCCCTCTGTAGTGATGTTTAATGTTCTTCTTGCTGCACATCCTCTGGGCTTCTTGGTTCCATCCCTCTAGTCTCTGATTTCAGGGTCAGAACATTTTCTAGACATCTGGGGACCCTTCTTAGACATTCGTGACTGGGAGTGGGAACAAGAGCTGATGGAGCTCTCAAAGACTGGGGGGAGGGCATGGTTCCCAGGGCTGCCAGGAAGGATCTCTATCTCTAGGTCTTTCCTCTTAGAAAGTCTTGGAATAGTCCCAGTCCTCAGAAAGAACTTGCTGGTCCTGCCCTAAGGACCTCTCTCCTGGAGTCAGCGGAAACAGAGGGCGGGTGTCAGCTGCTTCCTCCTGCTTCCCTCTGGGAACGGTGCCACACCCTCAATTGCCAGGGGAAGAACAGAGCCCTGGTCTTGCCAGCTCCAGTGTCCTTCTGGGGTGGAAGATTCTAGACACCTCACTCTCAGACAGCTCTGAGGCACCTGAGGCCACCCAGGTCTTTGGGATAGATCCAGATGCCTCCCCCCCCACCCCGCTCCTCTTCTCCAGCATCGGGCCTGGCTTCTTTAGGTGCTCAATGCCTCTCACTGACCCACATCTGACTCCTAAGTGCCCCTCCCTGTTGCCTCTGCTCCCATCCTCCCCTCCCAGGACTGGACATCTCTGTTTAATCTCTGTACCCAGGTTACAGAGAGGACCCACAATGGAAGCTATGACCTCGTTCTCCCTGACCCCACTCCCACCTAGGGAGTCCACTCAGGGCCTGGGTCCAGGTGGCCTTCTCCAGAAGGCTCCTGGTGGCTCACCAAGGATGAGGAGTCTCACCAAGCCCCTTCCGGAAACTCCATAACCCTATTCCTCAGAGACTAAGAAATTCCACTCTTTTTGGTTCAACAAACAGTTCCCCCGCAGTGTGTGCCAGGTGACCCAGCAGTGGGTCTGGTCAGCCAAAAAGGCCTGAGGTCAGATGACTCTGCTAACAGGATGTAGGGTAGCGTGGGGTGTGCGGGGAAGAGGGCTGTGCTGCCCATGGACAATTTCCAAGGAGATAAGAGGACAGTGTGTCCTCATGCTTGATGTGAAGTGTGAGGTGTTGGTCACAACTGTAACTTCATGTAGACTGCAGGACCCAATTTCTCTAGGGCTAAGGACAGCCAGGGAAAGACCCAGCTCTGGATGGTGCTGTGAGAACACACACAACAATTTCCATCCAGCCCAGGCAGGGCACCAACCCAAGGCAGACCACCTACACAGGACAGGGAACCCCACCCCCAAAGAGCACTCCAGTGGCAAGACACCAAGCTGGATGGAGAAGTGGGCACAGGGAGGATTTCCAGACAACAGACAGGCAGAGGTAGAGGCTCTGTGGAATTGCTAACTGGTCAGGATGAGTGTGCAGGATGAGGGCTAGGAGGCTAGGAAGGACTGTGGGTGTGAGGGGCACACAAGCTGGGGGGCACAGGGCTGAACCCCGAGCTGTGAGTGTAGTGTACGGACCCACTACTGTAGGGGCAGGATGGGCGAAGCCAGGGGTGGAATGTGGGTGGGGCCACAGGTGGTGTGGAGGGTGTCAGGGCAGGGACTTGTTTGAGCTGAGTATGGGAGGGGCGTGGGCAGGCTATGGTAGTGCAGTGGGTAGTGCAGTGGGCAGCGCTATGGCTGAGGCCCGGTGCCCAGCAATGGCACTCACACGATAAACTCGGACAGGTTGCACCACTTCCAGACGTCCACCTTGCGCATCATGTTGGCAAAGGCCTTCCCGCATCGGGGCAGTCTCTCCAGCATGCCGGTCTCATTGCAGCCACTGATGTGGGGACATCCACCTAGAGAGGGGAGAGTCTGTGAGCTCCACTGTGACTCGCACTGAGTGTGCCCAGGGAATGGCAAGCTGAGGGACCATCACTGGGGAAGTGAGGTTGCAGACTACCAGGGTTGTCCAATCCACAGCCTGGGAGCTACATGCAAGTTATGTGAGGACTTTTTTGCTTATCTGTGGCATCAAATATTACAAAATTATTCACAGCCTTTTTGTTGTTGTTGTTGTTGTAGTGTTTTGCTCATCAGCCTTCATTAGTGTTTGTGTATTTAATGTGTAGCCCAGGACAACTCTTGTTCCAATATGGTGCAGAGAAGCTAAGAGGCTGGACACCGCTGCCTGGGCCTTTCCAGCAGAGTCCACATCCTCAGCCCTGACCTCCCTGTCACTGAAGAAAGGAAGCTCCCACAGGGAAGGGGTCCCCCAAGAAAAGACAAGTCCACCTCTTCCCTTTACCACCTCACAGACAGTGATAAGTGGAGGGAAAGGCACTGAGACTGCACCTAAATCCTTAGGAAGGGGGAGGAAGGTCCCAAACAAATCAGGAATAACAAAGAGGCTCCAACTCCAGCTCAGGAGTCAGCACCTGGGACACATCCTGAGAAAGACTGTAAGATCTGATGACCACTCCAAGCCTTCAGGGGCAGCAGAGAAGGGCTCAGGTTTATTAAGGACCACCTTGCCCTTTCAAAGCCCCCCTCAGATTCTGGGACGCCTGGGGCTGAAGCCACTGCAGCAACTTCTGTTCCCAGCAACAGGGCTAAGTCCTTTGCTCATTATCAGGGTCCCACACAAGCTCCTTGCCCTAAGATTTCTCCATCACCCTTCCCAACCTCATGCCCATCAAAACATCCTATTCACTTCCACCTCACACATTTATTCCATGCATTTCCTTATGGGGAACATCCTCTCTCCCACTGAGCAATGCCCCCTGTCCTCAGGTCCTGCCCCAGACCCATGGTCTTCCCACTTCCAGGTGACAAGCTCTTCTTGCTCCTACACATGCCTCACCTAATCCCTGCTTTGGCTCTCATCAGGTAACTAAGACAGAGCCCAGGCATATATGTCCTAAGGTGTGTGTGTGTGTACATAGCCCTGTCATATGTGTCTTGGGAGCCAGTGCTGGGCTAGAAGAGTGACCAAAGGGAGACAGAATGGGTTCAGACCAGTATGGGACAGATCTGACTTATACCCATGTTTCCCTGGTTACCAGCTCAACCTTAGTTTCCCCACGTGTAAAAGAAGAGATATAGGCCCTACCTCACAAGGAGGTTGAGCTGACTAACTTAAGTCCTGTGCTCGCAGAGGCTCCTATCCTTGTGATGTGATATGCAAGTGTTCCACAAATGCTCACTGCTTTGCCCCTCACTCAGCAGATACATGTTGACCTGATGAATAAATGAGGGCAGCAGTGAGAATTCCAGAGTTCCATCTTCTGTGTGCTGCCCACACTGGGGACTGAGCAAGTGCTGAATAATTCACCTTAATGAGGAAATGGTAGGTTTCTACTGGACCACATTCTGGTGTGGTGACCTGCAAAGACAGACCACAGTACCCTAGACACCACTCGAGAGGCCACAGCCCACTTAACCCTGATGCCATAGAAGACCCTGAAAGCTCTTTTGCTGCCCACCACCAGCAAAAGGGGATGACTTTTCAACAGCCCCAGGAAGTATCAAAATGTTGGGATCACAGGGTTGAAGGAACTGGTGTGCTCAGCCACTCTCACCTATAGCAAGAAGCCTGGAGCCTCACCTCAGGGAGAAGCTGTGCACCCATGGGTGGCCCTGAGATCACAAGAGAGATTCCAGGGGAGGGAAGGGTGGCAAGACTGAGTAAAGCAAGGCCACACTGAGTGAGCAGGAATGAGAGGGAGTAGTGTGGTGTGGATGGGTTGGCCCTACAGAATGGATGGGAAAGAGGTGTTCACCTGCCCACAGAGGGCAGAGCTACCTTCTTCCTCTGTGCCTGCTGGAGAGCACACATGGGCAGGAGCTAACTGGAATCCTGCAGAGGATAACAGAAAGAGCCTCCCAGCTGCCCCATGACCTCAGTGCCCAGATTGGAGGCACCTTCCTCCCTTTGACACTGTCTAGACCTCAGAATCCAGGCTGACAACACTGAGATGGGCTCCTGGGGATTATTGCCGGTGGCATAGGACTGGGACTTGCAGGTCCTGGCAGGGGACCTGAGAGACCTGTGTAGGCACTCATGTCTCCTATTCTATACACTTGAGTTTTCCTAGGACCCAGCAAATCCTGAGGCCTCAGGGAACCATAGGCATGGGAAGCACACAGGCCCCATCTCAGATGTCAACCCCATGTAAGCAGATGGTGAGTTCACAGACTGGCTGTATTCCCCAGCAGTCCCTGGATGAAGGGTCAGCATCTTGGTTCTCCCAGAACAGGCATTGTGGGACCTCTGGCCACTCTATGTGGTCTTCTGCACCTGGAATGCCCTTGACCCACAAATTTACCTATCTCATAAGCACACCTGCAGGCCCAGTTCATCTGAAAGGCCATGGCATCCCCTTTAGTGCCATGGCTCCTGTCTGAATCTGTCAGGTTCTGACCTGTCCATGGAATAGCCATGTATTTATTCTGTGCCTATCCTGTCCCCACCTGTAGTGCAGGTGCCTTCAGTAGTCTCACAGGGTCTGGACATGGAGGTGGGGACTTAGTACCTGCTATCACCCCAGTGAATTTCAGGTACTAAAACCTTTTTGCTTACCAAAGGTTTAGCAAAATATACTGGACACCCACTACCATATGTCAATAACTGTGCTGGGTGCTTAGAGGAGTGGAGAGAGAACAACAGGGTCTGGTACCTGTTTTCAGAAGACCAGGGACCAGACCCTGTTGTTCCTGCTTTCAGGGTCCAGGAGGCAAGAAAAAGACACAGGAAACTAGCCCAAGTAGGGAAGAGGGTATAATAGGTGAGGCAGAACCCAGGACCAAGGGCAAGAAGGCTTGTCAAGACCCACAGATGTATGGGGCTATACATACAGATAGCATGTTCAGGAGACCTGCACTGTAGATTATAGCTATGGAAAGGGTAAAGAGGTGACCAGGGTTACCTTGAGCCCATGGCAGGGCATGGTGCAGTGGCTGGAGTGAGTTGAAAGATACACTGGGCCCATCAGGATCACCCAAACAGCAGGAGGGGCTTGGCGCAAGATGGGTCCAGGTGCCCAGAGCAATATAGTGTTAGTAGAGTCAATGGTCAGTGGCCAGGAGATGGGCCAGCACCACCAGCCAGTAGGGGGAAAGTGGCCAGCAGCTCGCATGGGAGTTTGCTGAGGGCACAAGAGCAGGGAAGCCCCTAAGGACCTGACCCCATAGTTTCCCTGGCCCTGGACTGTTTCCATCCCTTAAGGCCCTGTCATCTCTCAGAGCTCACAGAAGCCCCAAAGTTCATTGTAACTACACAGGTAGGGAGGCCAAAAGGATAGGTGTCTCACCTTGGGTAACACAGTTTTGGAGCCATCATCTGTGCCCAGGCCTTTTGTCTTCACCCACACCTCCGAAGACGCTCCTGTTTCACCCAGGCCAAAGTGACATACTCCACATCCCATCTTCTCTCACTAGGCCTTAGCCGTTTCCTCAGCCAGGAATAGAATGTCCACTTCACCTCGCTTCCAACCCCTCCACATCATCACCACCCCTCAGGGGATGGGTCTCACTGCACCCCTTATGTCACAGCTCTGCTGTGTCTCCTCCCAGATCTGGCATGGTGTGGGGAAATCCCCAGCAGCACTTGCTCAGTGAATGTGAGGATCCCAGGATCATAACAGCTGAAGTTGCTGAGCTATGGGAAAAGGAACTGACAGCCCCTAAGGGAAGGTGGATGCCCTGGATGGTCAGCCCTGCCCCATTCTGTCCTCCCAACATCTGGGAAATGGTGGGAGCCTACAGAGACCACTTTTCCCTGAAAGTCAGTCAGCTTCATGCTGGAGCCTCCTTCACTTCCCAAAGCCCATCAGGCCCCTGAAACCTTGGACCCAGAAATGCCACCCACCACTACCCACTCGACTATCCTCAGATGCAGCAGGGGCCTCACACAGATGAGCCCATTTGGTCCCCATAGCCACCTCAAGTCCTTCCTTCCATAAAACTGGAATCAGAGAGGCCTTGTCACTCATCCCATAGCTTGTCACCAGTAGCTTGGACAACAGCCCAGGATCCTAACACCTGAGTGATGGACACCACCTGCAGCTACAGTGTGGATGTTTTAAAAACCTTCCACAAGCCCCACTCTGTTCCTACAGAGCAGATAAGCAGGCAGCCATCCACATCTAGTTCTATAGCAGATAATGAAAACAATAAAAAGCCCTCAATAAAATATTAAAAATACATTCATTGGCTCGGCACCTGTAGTTCAGTGGCTAGGACACTGGTGACATATATGTAGGCTGGCGGGTTTTGAACCTGGCCCAGGCCTGCTAAACAATGACAACTGCAACAACAACAACAACAAAAATAGCCAGGCTTTGCGGTGGGCGCCTATTGTCCCATCTACTTAGGAGACTGAGGCAAGAGAATCACTTAAGCCCAAGAGTTTGAGGTTGCTGTGAGCTGTGATGCCATGGCACTCTACCAAGGATGACACAGTGAGACTCTGTCTCAAAAAACATATATATATTTTCATAAAATCATAAAGGAGCTGACAAGATAGCAAGTAATTGTCAAGGCAAAACTAGATGGAATGAAACCCAGAGAGCCATGGGATTGTTGCCCTGAAGTATCTGCCCATCCTGGAAAATGGGGGGTGGATGAGGCCCAAGATGTGAAATCCAATGGACTCCCCATAAACTAACACTCAGCAGTAAGTGGACAAGAAGTAACTGTTAACCCTTGGCCAACTGGGAGGAATGGTGCCTGGGCCGGAGGAACACTCTCTGAAAAGTTGTAACTACAGATATCAACTATCCTCAGATACAGCTGTGGCCTCACACTGATGAGCCCACTTGGTCCCCACAGCCACCTCAAGGCACATGTCCTTCCTCTC